ATACGTGACACCTCGGTTTAGATTCTGTATTATTCCACCAATCCAAGCCTTATCTAAAACCGGATTGTGGATGAAAACTAAATGAGCTTTTATTTCTGAAGCAGCCTCTGTCAGCACCAGATCTAGGTCTACGTGGATCTAGAGTGGATCCACGCCATCGAAGGCGACTCTTTGTTGATGTAGGCATTCCAGCTGCAGCCCGTTGTAATCCAGTACATTGTCAGCATTGAAGTAAATAGTATTTTAATTCAACTCGGAAGAGTAGATGAATTCCATTCAATTTCTTGCATTCGCTGAATTTGGCATGATTTGCCTGTGTCAAGTCAATGCTTTGATTGTTGCGCTAGTCCAGTTCACTCCTAGCAACTCGGCTTGAATAGCCAGCACTTTTGAGGCGAAATGAGACTTTGGGCGGTAAGAGAACATTTTCTAGGTCCAAATCATAAATATTACTAATGCTAAATTCCAATTTCAATGTGAGGGAAAGGGAACTTCACCTTATACACCGATTTGTCCTACACAGTTGTGCGATTTGCGTAATAGTGTCTACTTCCATACCTTCTACTTAAATCGCCTATTTGTGAAGACGGGATTTTAATCATATTTGCCAACTCTAAACCATACATTTTCTCCCAATGCGCTGCTTTTCTGCTAATTTTTGAGCCACGGCATATTCTTCTATTGTGATTCAAGTTTGTCTACCACATTTTTGATCGCCATCTGATAAAATAAAGAAGCATCAGGTAAAGGCTGTTGCAATTCTTTTCCTACTCTTGGTATTGCACAATACAAGTTTCCATGCTTAGATGATTAGCTTCTTGCTACCTAAATAATTTAAGTAACCTACGCGTGTACCTGCAGGGGAAACTGTTGCCATGGTGAATCGAGACGGTAATAATTGCCGCCCACTTGGCCTCTTCAGTGGTGTTTGTGGCATTCGACGATAGTGTAAATTTACTAGATTTTCTCATCACACATTCTCACCAATTTCGCAGACATTCACGGGCATATGCGCGTGTTCGTGTAGGTGGAATAGTCGGTAGCGAAGACTCAACACATCTGTCAGCTTTACCAGTTTCGATTCCGCACGCTCTCCGTTTTTAATTTCAATTTAGTAAAATGGAATGTTTGTCATTTGTGTAAAAAGACAGTAGTGCATTGATAGATTCTATTTTTCTGCAACAAATTGACTAGTGTGATTTGTGTAAACCACCCATGTGCTGTACGGTGTTATCTTTCGTTCCTCTAAGTTGGCTCTGTTCTTTTGTATGTAACTATGATAAGGTGCTCACATTTGCCATCTTTTTTTTGCTCAAGAGCTCTTTAAGAATAAGTTTCGCGCCCTTTTTTAATCTTTTTATCATAATATAACGGGGGTTCCCTTCCATTGGTCAAAAAATCGGCAAGTAATGTCTGCTATGCATCGAAAAGACATCAACCTAGACAACCTGTCCATAAGTGCGTTCAACTATCTCCT